CATGGCCCTTCGACATGGGTAAGGACAGCTGCTGGGACATAGGGGTGGGATGGGGTGGGGAGGATGTTCAAAAGCCCATCAGGGAAGAACACCCGGCTTTGCAGTAGTTAAAGAAAAAGAAGCTTGCAAACAATTGTGAATAAATAGAACCATCATTAAAATATTGACGTGTGTGTGTGTGTGTGTGTGTGTGTGTGTGTGTGTGTGTGTGTGTGTGTATGCACGCACGCATGCACACACATGCTTGCCCATGAGTCCCTGCATGTGAAGGGCAGAGGTCAACTTGTGTATTTATTGTTCCTCAGGCTCAGTCCACCTTCTCTTTAGAGCCAGGGTCTGCCACTGGCTTGGAATTTACCTGGTAGAGTAGGCTTAATCGGCAAGCCTTAGCGATCCACCCATCTCCATCTCCCTGGCATCCCCAGCATGCCACCATACCTGACTTTTTTTTCTGGCCATTGAACTCAGGTCCTCATGCCTGCATGGAAAGCACCTTGCCAACTGAGCTAGCACTCCAGCTTCTCTATATAAATGTTATTCAATTTTGTCAGTTCAAAATAAAGAAAAGGGCAGAGGGAAAGAACCCACCTATGGGTTCCAAGAGAGCTGGAAAGGGTGCTGTCCAGGCCTTGTGGTAGCCTTAGCCTCTCATTAATACCAGTCTCTCTACAAAAGGACTGTGGTTGCACCTTAGAGCAGAAAAGGCCTCACTTCCTAACATGTGGGCTGAGGGGAAAAAAACAAATGAAATGGCCTTTGGGTGTTATCTGACAGTGGTTCAGATTTGGGCATTCCCAGGGATCACTGGGCTTTCAGAAGCTACTGTTTCATCCCTAAAGGCAGCCTGGCCTAGGCCATGGGACACCGTGGTCAGCTGACACCTTGGTACAGCTGGATTTGAGGTCTAGGGGGCCTGTAGGCAGACCCAGGGGATACTGATGTTCAGCATGTCATCTACAGCAGGGTCCCCGTCTTTCTGCGTATTCAAGGACTTGCTTTTCTTCTGCAGGGTGTCTCTAATCCCTGCTTATGGCTTCGGAGAGACGGACCTCTATGACCAGCACATTTTTACTCCCGGGGGCTATATCAATCGCTTTCAGAACTGGTTCCAGAAGATGGTACACATCTACCCCTGTGCTTTCTATGGGCGTGGCTTTACCAAGAACTCCTGGGGCCTTCTGCCATATTCTCAGCCAGTAACCACTGTTGGTGAGTGGGCCCTTTTATTGGAAGCCTTGGTTTAAGTTCTAGGATTCACTTCTATGGCTGAGCCTCGGAATCCTGACTATGGTCAGAGGCAGGGAGGCTCGCTAGGATGGGCGCTGAGCAGAGGGGTCAGGGTGGAGAGAAGCTGAGTTCCAGGATGAGGGCTGTCCTGTGGAGTGAACTATTCTGATGCTTTTCTCTTTCCCTTTTCCATTCTCCTTGGCAGTCGGCAAACCTCTACCTCTGCCCAAGATTGAGAATCCGAGCCGGGAGATTGTGGCCAAATACCACGCACTCTATATTGATGCTCTCCGCAAATTGTTTGATCAACATAAGACCAAGTTTGGCATCTCAGAGACCCAGGAGCTGGTGATAGTTTGAAAGACATTCCCCCTGGCTGGATGGTGTGGAACTGGTCACAGCAGGCCAGTGTGCACCTATGCAGCTTCACGCGTGACTGGAGCAGTCCTCACTGGAGGGAGGTGGGGCTGTGTCCATTCGGTTGTTTTCTGTCTCCATCCTTTTCCACTTCCATCTCTTTCTCCTAGTTTTTTCCCTTTTCTGCTGAGACAGAGAAGACCCCAGGCTTCACTGAAGTTACTGGAGGTTGCTCTGAGCAAACCTGGGATAGAATAAAGAGCCCATCTCTGGTACTGTGTGCTCCAGCTAGTCTGTTTGGAGGATTCTAGGACCTTGTGCGTCTGTCATTCTCCAGGACTGGGCACCTCAAGGGCCAGGGGACATTGGGTTCAGAGAGCAGCACATTCAGGACCTGTGATTTTTAGGGGCAATTCATCACTTCTTATCTGTTTTTTCATCTCTAAAATGAGACTCATAATCCTTCCTCTGCTCACCTCAAAGGCTGCTGGCAAATTCCAATGTTCCTTACTGTATGTTACTAAACCTGGAAAGCTGGAGAGCTACACAAATTTTTTTCTCCTCCAGTCATCTTCCTGTCCCTAAACACTGTCCTAAAGTTCATGGTGGCTTGCTTTCTAAAAGAAAGTACAGGGCAGTATTTTGAAAGGTTAAGTAATTGATACCTTGGTGACTCTTGTCTATACCTACTTTCCACCCTATAAAGCTATACAGGAATGGTCAATGGTTTAGATCTAATTTTCTCATTTCCACTCAGGAAACTTGCCCGCACTCACTACCCCATCCCTATTAACTCTGCTCTTTGATAATCAAATGGGATGCCTGGCTTCCAGCAACTACGAAGAACTTGCTTTCTGAGTTTCTGAGTGGCAAGTCTCTCACACTCTTAGCCCAGCAGTTGTTGTAACCACGTATTACACAATTTGGTGCACAGACCCTCTTAGATGGTTGTCATCTGGTCCAATCATTTTCCTGCATTAAGTTTGTCAAGTTTTTTTTTTTGTTTTGGTTTTTCGAGACAGGGTTTCTCTGTGGCTTTGGAACCTGTCCTGGAACTAGCTCTGTAGACCAGGCTGGTCTCGAACTCACAGAGATCCGCCTGCCTCTGCCTCCAGAGTGCTGGGATTAAAGGCGTGTGCCACCATCGCCCGATTTTTAAGCCAACCTGTGTACTTACTACAGTGTGAAATTCCTGCTCTGTCTTAAATGCCTAGTCAATGTGGTTGTTTGTACACTGTATGACAGAAGTGTGGTCGTCTGCTGTGGTCTTTTCTGCCTGTGCTGTTTCTTGTGCCAGAGGTTCCACTTTCCTTCTATACGGTGTCTTATTTTTTCTTTTTCTTTTTGGTGCTGAGCATCAAACCCAGGTCCTGACACTAAAGATAGTCTACCACTGTGTTCCCAAAGTGTTCTAAAATTTTCTAGGCTTCTGCGACTGAAACCCACTCTCCAAAGCAGCCAGAGGACCAACCTGGGTATCATTATTATCTGACCACTGCAGGCTCAGGTTCATCCACATTACTTGGGGGTCACATTCTCCGCAACAGGACAGAGGCTGCTGGGATTGGGAAAAGTTCCATCTACTATCCTGAGCTACCTGTTACTGGCTGTCTGTTCTTGGGATCTCCTTCCTTAGAATAGAATAGACAGGGTTTCTCCAGCAAACAGCATGGGGCCAGGCAGTAGAGGCAGCATGGCAGAGTGGACTGCACACCAGGGAAAGAGCCAGGCTGAGACCCTTACTAGTTGAGTGGTCTTGGGGGAGCTACTTAACATCCCTGAGCACTGGTTTGGTCTGCAAAGGGAGCCAATTTGTATATTAATGAGGAGCTGAAGGTTGGATCTCTCCAAGATGTTTTGGGCAAGGCTTGAGATGTAGAAGCCACGTTTTCAAGCTGAAGGCATCCCCACGCTGTATGCTCTTGTCCTGTGACAATATGCCTTCTGGCAAGACCTCAAGCCAAGGTAAATGAGCTGGAGATGCATAGTTTGGTGCAAAGAGAGTAAGTGGGATGCACTGGTAAGAATCTTAGACTAGTTTCCTTCTGGTACTCTCATCAAAATGGGTTTCTCGAGCTTTCCCCGGAGCTCATGTGTCGTGGCATCACTTATGAAGAAGCATGTGACATGCAGGAAGAGCTCAAGCTGATTTCAAGAGTGGGGAGGGGAGCACTTTATTTGCAAAGAATAAACCGTTAATTTACACAAACTTACATCCCTAATTATATACATTATATATAGTTTATATACACAGTATCTCACACAGGATGCTGACTCCCCAAAGCAGCATTGGCCTGTTCCAGGCCATTCTCACAACAAATTTCCCTCACCCCCATCTCAGCTGGAAGCTTTTTGAATAAAGAAACACACCTCACCCCTCCTAGAAAGAGCCCTGAAGTAAATTTAAAAAAAAAAAAAAACAAATCAGGTTCTGTGGTGAACATGGCCTAGGGAGACCCCAGGCAAGGGTGGGAACTCAGGCAACACTAGGGAGGCCTAAAAACTGCCTGGCTCTGAGTCAGTCCAGAGCCTTCCAGCCCAGAGGCAGGAGCTGAACAAATGCCTTGGGGTAGTGTGTATGAGGAGGCGAGTTCCGATGAAGACTGCGGCCTACTCCCTGCCTGGCCAGGCTCCTGAAGGGAGACAAGCACTTCTAGCCTTGAGTCTGTGGGTGTATGAAAGAGGAGGCCCCATGGGAACTGCTGTGTCTGGAGGTGGGACCTGCTCACTGTCCCGGGCAGGCCATTTTCCCTGTCTGAGCATCATTTCACACGAGTAACAGGATGGGATGTAGGTTGGGCTGTAGTCCTACTAAGAGCCTTTCTAGGTCAAAATTTCTCTAGATCTGTTTGCATCTACTAGAAGCTGCATAAAACACAAGCCCTCACATGAGGATCAAAGTTCTCGCCTACCTCTAGGGTCCTTAGCTCTTGTTTCCTAAGCTACAGAGATTTGGCTCAGGATGGATAAAGGGGCAGCTAAGGCAAATGCTACATTTTCCAGGGAACCAGTAGCCAAACAACATCCAGCAGTCACATTTTGTGCCAACTTGGCTTCTGAAGCTCAGGCAGCTGGTAGAGGCTCCTGCCATGCAATTTCCCTTCAAACCTGTCATCTGCTTACTCAAACATGTCCCATTCTCTCTGCTAGCTTTGGGGTCACTTTACATCCTAACAATTCAAACTGTAAATATCTATCCCTATTCTTCTATCAGTAAATGCTGCACCACTTCGCCAATGGCCATAGCACAGTAGGCCTCCCCACTCTCTACAATTTCCTCCCCCCAGCCCTCTTCTCCTAGGGCTCCTTGTGAGGGGTTAGGATGAACAGCCCAATTCTCCTATGATCTGCACGCACAGAGTGCGATGGGGTTGGCAGGTCCTGCAGGGGCACAGTTAGGTTTCCTCCCAGCCATGGGCTTTAGAAGTGTCTTAGCAGGTGCCCCCCCCCACCCCATTCTTGAGAGACTCTGGCAACATCAAGGTCTTTGTAATATGGCAGAAGGAGAGAAGAGTCACACTCAGCTATAGGAAGCAGAACGGCTCCCAGAACTTGTGTCTAGGGTTAGAAATGGAAGTCTTGTCCCCCATGGTAGCTCCCCATCGGATGGCTGCTGCTTTATCAGATGCGTGAAAGATCCTGAAGGCTACCTGCTCTGTGGGACCCAGAGCTCGAATGGAAGATTCTTCTCAAGACAAGAACTCTTAAGGTTGATCACTGGGGCTGATTCCCAAGAAAACGCCCAAGTCTTCTCCCACAGAACCCCTGGCAGCCAAGAAAACAGGCAGTACCATCAAGTGATGAAAATTGAAGATTGTTAAGTTTCTCCCTAGGACCCCCCAATGATGTCAGTTCCATACAATCACCTTTATTTGTTCTTCCTGGACCCCAAATTCCACACAGTGCTGTGATAAGGGACTAGCCTGGGAGTCAGACCTCACTAAAGGCTCAAATCTGTGACTTACACTGGGTGAGATCTTAGTCAAGGCCCTTTACCTCCCCAGCCTTACCTATATAACTCTCATATTCTCTACCCCGCGTTCTTCAAAGAAAATAATAAAAGAGGAAGTAATCTTCAAATACTAAGGAGAGGGTTTGGTAGTTCCTGCTGCCCCTGCTGATTGTTCAAGGCCTTCAGGGTGAGAAGCAGGTCTAAAGTTTACCTCAGTTCTGGTTGGAAGGCTGTCATTAGACAAAGCCCGGCCACCTCCTGCCCTGACCCTTGAAGGACCAAGCAATGTGGCTACTTGGAAATGGAGGTGCACCTGAGAAACCTGTTGTTCTTAATGACATTCAGGGATGCATTTTCCATCTCTTCAGAAAGAAATACATTTCAGAAGCATGAGGAGCAGGCTGGACAAGGCTGACCCTCCCTGCTTTGGGCTGCACCTGACACTCTGAGGCCAGGCAATAGGAAAGAAAGTGTGTGAATAATCCCAGTGTAGGACCATGCCAGAAAACTGGTGGAGGTGCCTTTGGAGCTGAACTAGGGGTCAGAGCCCTGCCCAATAGTCAGACAGGTTGCTGTGGAGGCTGTCTCTAGGAGAGCAGCACAGACCTCTATGGTGACAGTAATCTGCTTCTGAAAGAAGACTGGGCTAGTGGGCCATCAGCTGCTGCTCTTTCAGATGAGACCTAACCTAACGGTCCCTGACCTAATGATCACTTGGATTGACTGGCTGATCACTGGGGTTGCAACGAACATGAACAAATCTCCCTGCTTTCCAATTCCTACTTCTCCCCCTTTCTGGGCCAGGTAGAAAAGCCCTGCTTTGCTAATGTCCAAGGGAGTCTGGGCTTTGGGAATTTAGAAGTCTACCGTAGTGGTAACTTTCGAGAGCCTCAGATATTCAAACTCTAAGGGCCTTTGGAGGTTATCCAGTTTAACCATCTGCTCCCAGACACAATTTGGTTAGAATTAGATGCATAATTGTATTGCTTAATCAACGGAAAATTCTTTGTGACCAGGTCATTTAAAGAATACACCAGACTCATAAGAGATGGGTCCCACACGAGGCACCTGTCTCAGACAGAGGTAGGCACTATGGAGAGAGAAGATAGGACTTCTAGTCAGTCTGGGGAGGGTGGCAGGTGGGAAGACTCCAGGTAGTTTTCGGAGAGTGGAGCAGAGCTGTAAACAAAGTGAGACATGCGCAGCCCTAAGTATCGGGCTCTTACATAGGCAGGGGTGTGGCCATGCCTGCAATGATTCCAAGGTAGAGCAAAGTTCCCAGCTCTGGAGTCCAGCAAGCTGCCACAGTGTACCTCTCAGCCTGAGTGGGAAGAGCTGTTTGAGCCTCTTGTAGGTCATAGTGCAATACAGCAAGAATGCCTCCTCTGCCAAGGATGCTTGCTTGGCAGCTAATTGCCCAGGTCTCTGCCACAGGCACTTGCCTTCTTCTGACCTGATCCTTTCCTTAAGTTGCAACCTGATGCCACCCCCAGCCAAGAGAGAAGCAGCAGCCCCCTTGGAGTCAGAGGGTCACCCCTAGAATCTGGAGTGCACCTTTGCTTTTTGTGGCCTACTGTCTTGGATCTTCAGTTTAGTGCAACAAATGATACATCTGATGAGGGACCTAGGGGTTGAGGAGTCACGATAAGCCAGCCAGCAAGGAGCCTAAGGAGGTTCTGCTTCTTGAAAACCCTGGGGCTCCATCAACTGTCCTGGCAACTCAAGGTCATTGTGGGAAGTCGCACAGGCCTTGTCATCCTGGAGTCACTGGGGAATAAATAGCACTGGGGCATCTCTCTCTGTGGCTGCAACGCCAATATACCTCACTCCACAGCAGCACTTAGAGGTTCTGGGAGTCCTGGCTCCCAAACCTGGGGCAGGGGCATGGGACAGGATGGAATGGGAGAATCTAGGATGCAGGGGCTTCGCCCAGCCTGATGGCCCCAAAGAAGGTGGTGTGCTTGCTCATATTGATAGAGATGTCGGCATGCACCATCTTCACGGCAATTTTCTGCCTGGCCTTGAGGAGGCACACGCCTGCAGTATAGCAAGTGTTGTAGTTGGTCTTTCCTGTCTCAATGCTGCGGGTGCACTGCAGGAAGGGCTTCTCATCCACCACCACCTCGTAGCTGGCAAAGTCAGTGAAGTTGATGTAGTACACCTGGGTGAGAGGCAACGAGAAGGGATTGGGGGAGAGAGGAAAAAGAGGGTGGGCCCTCCCCTGCTGAGCAGATAAAACCTCCTCAGATGAGAGCTGCCAGTCTACCCTGCGCAGGGGGGTGGTGCCAGTTGGTCAACACGAACAGCAGGGTGACAGGATCACTGTCCTCCTACTCCATGGGCTCAAGGGGCTGAGCGAACCTTCCTTACAGACTGCTCGAGTCCAAGAACTGAGCCTCATTTCCATTTCACTGGCCTGGCTCCCTAGCCCTGGCACGAAGCTCTGCTTTGCACACTTTCAGTGCTTACTGGGCACTCCAGATCCACTACCCTCCGCTTCCCATCCTGAAGACTGTTTAGGAGAGCGCTTAGGAATCTGTGATGCCTGAGGGAGCTCACAATAATCACTTCCCATTTCTCCAGCTTGCGAACAGAAACTTCCTGAGCTTGCAACACCCGCTCCGGTATTGCACTCCTCTCCGGACTCAGCACACCTTGGCCCTCCCACTGGCTGGCTGGAGACGCAGGTCCTGAGCTACGGAGAGCCAGCTCATACAAATGAGATAGCAAATCCTAGGCTCCTAACTTCATTCTCAGGCCAAGGAGGAAGTAAGAACCTACGGCCTGCTCTCACGGAGATTTTCTTAGCTCATACGGGCTATTCCTAATCCTCCCCTGGGTCCAGAAATTTACTTTCCATCTTCCATTACCTTTTGTCGGCATATCCCACCCTGAGCTTTGATTTTTTACCACTACCAAATGGAATTTAATCCACAGGTTATGCCCACATGTTGTATAGGAGTGGGGACCTTCCTTCATCTGACACCTTAAATCACTTCATCAAAATGACTCTGCAGGCTCTTTAACTGGAAACAGTGTATTTAAGTGCCACACTCTCTTGGGCCAGGACCAAGCTATATCAGGACACGTTGTGTGCCTGGCAGGTGTTTGTTAACCCAACTTCTCTGCTGACTTCCTCTTGAGAGCCGTATGTTGGCTCCTCAGTCCTGTTTATCTGCCGGCTTCCTGCCTGCCACCCAGAAACCCTGACCTGCAGGCTTATCTACTTTTTCTAGCTCTGAGGACAGCCCTGATGCAGGCACACAACGAGGGATGGAAATGGATGGCCACTGGCAGACCTGTGGGGAGTGGGCCCAGGGCAGGAAAAGGACAAAAGTGGAGGGGAGAAAGGTCTGAGAGGATGACATCATGAAGGAGGCAAGAACAACAGAAAGAGACAGACACAGATGGGAGAAAGAGGAAGGAAAGACAGTCAGAAATCTTTTTGAGGTAGAGAGAAGGTCTGCAGGAGCACTGTCATTGTCATGCCCAAGCTAGCAGTGCTGTGGGGAGGGGTCTTGGCAGCTCTGGGGCTTAGCAGTGCTGTGGGGAGGGGTCTTGGCAGCTCTGGGGCTTAGTTTCAAAAACTCAGAGCAAGGATGGGTCCGTCTGTGGAACCAAACAACTCAGAGGGGAAACCAGGGCCTGGGGCCCTACAAGAGGGAGTCAGACAGCAGGGTGTGGGAGCGGTCTCTTTACAGTTTTTCAGTCATATTTTGCTAGGGAAAAAATGAAACAGGTTCCCTTGGTCTTTCCTCCCGTCAGCTCCCTCCCAGTGTGGAATCCACCACCCCTTGCGCCAGCAAAGCAGGAAGTTAGCCATTGGATGGTCTTGGCTTGCTCCACAGTGCCCCTAGGTGGCCTGCACCAGATCTGCACCCTGGATATACGAAGAGTTAGGCCTAAGACCGTACTCACTTCTACCTGACTATAGATGAAGTAGGTGCCGTCCACCAGTACCTCCAGCTCCCCGCTGCGGGGATGTAGCTTAAACACCTTGGGGTTCATAGTGATGCGAGACCAGTCATTGAGCACTCCACCTGAAAGATCTCAGTATGAGAGAAGGGTAGTCACTCAGTACATGTCAAGATAATCTGGGCAACAGAAACAAATAAATACCAAGCAGTACCACTCCCCCATTCCCTGCCAACCCTATCTAGCCCTGGTGACCATAAGTTTCAAGGGCCATGCTTTAAGAAGAACATTTGGAGGCAGGAGAGGTGTACTGTTTGTAAAGTGGCTTCTAGGCCTGCCTCAGGACCTCCGGATCTGCACACCCGTCTTTATCCTTGCATTCTCGACCTTTTCATCAGCAAGGCTCTTTATCTTCTAGCTGGACTCCGAGGTGGTGATGGTGCAAGAGGAGAGTAAGCACAGAACCAGATTTTCTTTGTTGTTATGGTGACTGCACAGGCAAAATCCAGACACTGAGTGGCAGGCTAAGTCTTAGTATTCAATTTCACTTCCCTAGCAGTATCATCCGAATTCCTCTCTTGTCTCAGAGGTTTGTGTCTTTTTACCTTCTTAATAGATTCTTCTCTATGGCTCCTCCACCACCCACTCCTTTCTGGGAAGCTTCCCGAGGGCACCAGGAAACCACTTAATCAAATGATCCATCTGTCTGGAGCACTACCTAGTGGTAGTTGGGTATTGGGGCGATCACTCACATCCCAAGGCAGCTAGGGATAGTAACCACTAGTAACCAGGCCCTGGAGGTGAGGGGGAACTTCACGATACTCGGGGATAACTTGCCAGGTTGCCGTGGACCAGCTAGGAGGATATGGGAAGGTGCCTAGGAGATGAGGCACCCTTGGCAAAGCATCTTTTCATATCCGTAACTCATTTGGGGACCCAAGCATGGGAGGATAGAGGAATATTTCTCTTTCCATCCTGCACATGGAAAGATTTTACTTCCAACCACAAGAGGAGGCAACCTAAGCTCATTGGGACTTTTTCTTTCAGCCATTTGTTCTTCACACAAAAATACTATGATTTAAACATCCATCCTTGACCAGTCTCAGAAGGTCTGCCTCTCTGGAGTATGAGGGAAAAGGAGGCCATTTGGGTTAGTAGTAGGTTCCAGTTCCAGTATGTCTATGGACTTCTCTGTCTAGTAGCCTCTCACCGCTGCCTTCCTCACTTCTGGCTTACAGTGTAAACTATGACTTGGAATTAGCCCAGAGGGACTGGAAATTGTCTTGCTCTGTTATGATAGTGGGAGCAAAATGAGCGGCTTCTGCCACAGAATGAGCATTAAGGCCACCACTTAGATACCCAAACAAATCTGGTTCCTGTCTGACCATGTTCTTCCAGATGGATGGTGATTATGGTCACCAAGGACCCTGGTCCCACAGAGCTTGAGCCTCTGCAGGGCTCCTAGGGGTTTTTTCTTACTCTGCTCCTATTTGTACTTGTGAGGCTATTAGGCTGGGGTGGTGGTTTGAATAGGAATGGCCCCCATAGACTCCTGTGTTTGAATGCTTGGCCCACGCTGAGTGGCACTATTAGGAGATGTAGCCTTGTTGGAGTAGATGTGCCTTGTTGGAGAAAGTGTGTCACTGCAGGGGTGGGCCTTGAGGTCTCATATGCTCAAGCTACACCCAGTGTGGAAGATAGTCTCTTTCTGCTGCCTGTGGATCAAGATACAGAATTCTCAGCTCCTTCTCCAGCATCATGTCTGCCTGTACCCTGCCATGCTTCTCGCCATGATGATAATGGACTAAACCTCTGAAACAGTAAGCTAGCCTCAATTAAATGTTTTCCTTCATAAGAGTTGCTGTGGTCATGCATGGTGTCTCTTCACAGCAACAGCCAGTTTAACTAAGATAGCTGGGTATTCAGGTGGCAGTCAAAGGAGGAGCTGAGTCTGATGATTAGGGGAACTCAGCACAGACAGGTGAGGACTGACTGCATTCTTAGAAGCTGTCCTCAAGTAGCAGGTTTGGTAGCCTTTATTTACTGTTTCCGCTCACAACCCCTCCCTTCCATGCCAAGCTCTGTAAGCATCTGGCATCTTGGCTGGCTTGTTGTTTCCCAAGACTCCTGGGGGTTCATGCATTTTAGGCTTTGGGCACCCTGGAGACTGGACATTATTTCAAAGCACTGTTCTTTAATGAATGTTCATGTCTCTTTAGGGGAAGAAAATGAACCTAATCATTCAGTGGCGTGTACACACACACACACACATCACTGAAGTAGCACAGCACAGTGCCAAGAGTCAGCAAGCTGTGGTTTGGAATCTTATCTCCTAACTTAGCTACAAAATATTGGACCAGTTAATTAAGTTCTCTGAGCTTTCGTTTCTGTGTCTGTAAAAGAAAGGAGAATTGCAATACCACATCATAGGGTGGTTGTGAAGGTCAAATGAAACAAAAGACAAAACATTTGGGAATTGTTGGGTGTCATGCAGACAGAAGGCGGCATGCTTCGTTTCGGTATTCCTAGTCTCTCTGGGACTCTCTTTTCCCATCTCATACTTGAAGGGATAACATGAAATCAGCATTTCTCGGCCCCACTGACATGTTTGCACTTTGGATAGACACTAGTGTCTCGCATTTGCTAGAGACTAACATATCCCCTTCTCTGAGAGAAACGCCCTTTCCACCCATTTTCTGTATAGAGCAATAAGACAAAATAATCTATTTAATATAGTTCTACATTCCTGAGTTTGCACTTGTGAAAATGCTTATATATATTCCGTGGTGACTCTGACATAACCATCATGACAACTTAGGTAGATGATGTCCCCAGTCCTATTCAGATCCTACATTAGTGGATTCTAAGTGCAATTTAGAGCCTGAGGATGCAGTCCAATGGTAGTGCACTTGGCTACCATTCACAAGGTCCCGGGTTTGCCCCCTTGCACTGCAAAAGCAAAACCAAACGCAATTTGGGTGCAGCAACTTGTCTTGGTGAAAGCAGTTACTTATGACAGCCAGTAGAGGGCACGATGGAGTAGGAAATGCCCTTCTGTGCCAAGGATACTCAGGGACTTGGGAGGAGCTAAGCTGGCTGATTATTCGGAGGCTGGGAATGAGGGAAGGGAGAAACTCCTTGTAGGGAGAGAGACTACTTTGATTCTTACCATTCTTGACTTGAATTGCCGACCCTTGGCCCTGCAGATGCACCACAGCTGGCTGGGAGGATGAGAAGAAGAGAGTCACTGTGGTGGCTGCTTGCTATGTCATGCAGTCCTGGACTGTTACCTCTGGCTTCTAGATCCCTTTGTGTCCCAATTCTGATCCCTTTCCTCTGTTTTGAGATATTAACAGCTGTATTTCTCAGGGAGAAATAGTAGCACTCTGAGCTCTACGTGACCCTTCAGCCAAACACGATGCCTCGGAGCGTTATTTCCTCAACTGTAAAATGGGAATTAAAAGACTCTCTGTCTGGCCACTCTCACAAGGGCATCTGCAGTTCTAATAAGTTGCTGAATATAAAATTGCCCACAAAACCATCAAGGACTGTACAACTGTATAGATTTATCACTGTGGCCAAATAACAGTAGTGAGGGTGGTTGCTGGGAGGAGACAAGGGCGGGCTAGGCAGTAGAACTTGCCAAAAGAGACAGATTGGGAGGCTCAAAGACTAGGAAGGAACTTCTCAGGCTATTAAAAGGGAAGCCCAGGCTGGCCGCAGCCTAGAGCTAGTGGGCTGCTTTACAAGGACATACTCTTAAACTTATCAGCTCCAGAGTCCAGGCAGTCTGAGTGCCCTTCAGGTATCTGGAGTGGCTTGGAAGCCACAGGCCTAGGTGTACAGGCAGGTAATTTTTATAGACTACTGAACGTGGCTGTAGTGACCCTCCGTCACTCATGGAGTGAGTAGAATGGTCCAGGCAAGATTCTGTTCCCTTAGCTAAAGGCACATCTTTGGGGCAAAGCTTTTCAATTCAGACCTTGGCAGTGGCTGCCAGGGAAAACCTCAGAACCTCCAGGGCAACGGAACTTAAAGCCTCATGGAATTTCATAGGGAGTAGACTCCAAGGTGACTCCAAGCCTGAGGCCATCCCTCCTCCCCAGAAAGACAGTGATCCCCAGCCAACCTGGTTTTCTCGAGTTCCAGTTTTATCAGCAGCACCTGCAAAATAGGACAGGGCAGTCAGTGCCAGGCTCTTTTCTCCCGCTCGCTCTCTCAGTTCTGCAGCCAGGGGCAGAACTAGGATTCCCATAGCCATCCCTGGAGGAATTTGCTTCTCCAGGCCCACAGCTGCAGGAAGTCACAGCACAACGTGGGCCTGTCAATGGGAGAGAATATCCTCTCCTTCCTATTCTTGCCCCTGACCCTTATCTTCAGAGGGTCTACATCCCAGCAGCGAAGTTGGTCTCGTACCACTGTGCACCCACGGAGAACAAGAGGCTATGCTATGCCTGTCATTGTGTGTCCCCAAGACAATGGCACTTGCTTTTTTAGCCCTTTGTTCTTTTCTTACTGGCTTCACAAGGACCACTGTCATTTATAAAGATCTTCTTTCTTTACATGTGTCTCTTAGACTCTAGGTCATAAACTCTATGAGACCAGGGACCACTTAGCAATATAGTTCTTTGTACACAGAAATTGCTCAATTAATATTTGTGGAATGACTGGATTAAAAAAAAGCAACTTTATCTCTCGTGGCCATGGTAACACTGCTGAGCCCTGCTTGAATTATAAGGGAAAGAATCCGAGTCCTGCGGCTGAAATTTTAGACCTGGAGAATTCAGCTGTAAGAGTCCATTTCTTCAAAAACCTAAGACACAGGATGGGAGCAGGAGAAGGAACTAACAACTAGCAGGAGTGCAGGCGGGCTGCCTCCTGTCAACTCTAATTAGGCAGCCTCGCATCTGCAGCTGTACCTGTTGCGTGCCCTGCTGGGCTCCAGCAGAAAGACACAAAGGGATGGGATGGCATTTGAATGAGCAGCATGGTATTTAAGGATGGAGTGTAGTGTGAGGAGTATTTGGCTCAGGGACAGAGTGGTCTTGGTGTCTGGGTTTGCTACAGCCACAGCCTGAGTGATTCATAAATTTCTACCCATGTGACTAGAAGTGGCTACTGTCCACACGAATGGGAAACGACTCTCAGAGTCCATGGGAAGAAACTGTAACAGGGTTGCCATTTTGTCCAGTCCCCGACATTCCTCCTTACAAACTATTTCCATAAAACATCATGTGCCACTCCATGTTGAAAATCAGAGTAGGCCAAATCTGTAAGTACAGGAACTCCAGTGAATGGCCGGGACCTCTCTCTCATACCTCTGTTTTTTGGCTCATATGAGTTTATTGGCTCACTATATGGAAGTCTAGAGCCAAAGACAGAATGTGATGGAAGGGTTGGCATGGGGCAAGAACAGATGGCCTGTCTGGCACAGCTTGATCTCAACAAGAGTTAGAGCAGGCCAGGCCCTATCAGAGCTTGTTCAGTTTCTAGCTCTCCACTGTACTATGGATTTCTTACTGTACGTCATCACTGTTTGAAGATCACCTGCTTCTGCTCTACAAAAGTACAGACAAGGTTTCTAAGGGGTGGGAGACAGGAGAACTCACCAGAAGGTCCTTGGAGGCCAGGGGGTCCTTGAGGACCAGGAGGGCCAGGAGGGCCAGGTGGTCCCATAACAGTTGTTCCTGGAATCCCAGGAATTCCTGGAATCCCTGGGGGTCCCTGGGGTCCTGGAGGTCCTGGAGGTCCTGGGGGGCCATTGGGCCCAGGGGGCCCTGCTTTCTTTCCTATAATCACAGGATTCAGTGTTATATTTGGAGTTAGTTACTGTTAAAAATGTACTGTCACAAGTGTACCCTCAGGAGTTGTAGAGACTCCCAATGACACAAGGTCAGCCATCTAGGAGTCTTTGCTAAAGAGCTGAACATGTTTATACTCCTCTGTCTGACCCACATTTCAGGGAAGATTTGAGGACACAGAAATAAACAGCCCTTAAGGATCCCAGTGCAGTAGGAAAAGGTTATGAGATATTAGAAGTGCCACATTGATGAGAGGGACCAAATGCTAAAACAGGTCAGACAAACTTCAAAAAGGAGGCTTTGATCTGGTCCAAAGGATGAGCACTATTAGGAAACCAGACTTAGTACCTTGACGGTTCTTTTTAGAATTTGACGAGTGTTGGTAAGTGTGGGGCTTCATTTCATGAGCAGTTGGGTAGACCTGTGCTTAACCAAAAGATAATGGAAGTCTGACCCCACGAACACCGTCAGCTCCAGGAAGATTTGCCAGGAGTCAATTGTGCAGGGGTTGGGGGCAGGACAGGGGCAGCACTGGCTGCAAAAGGGGAGGGAAAAGGCGGTTTGGAGATGAAGGTGGAGAGAGAGAGAGAGAGAGAGAGAGAGAGAGCGAGAGACCGAAGCTAACAAGAGACAACAGAAAAGAAGGAATAGCAGGCAGAGACAGACCTGATGAGGAGGCAGCAGGCTCTGTTTTCTCAGCTGACCTTTCTAAACTCTATTTTTAAGGATCCCTGGGAAAGGAATTTCTGCAGACTCTCTTGGTTCCATGTTCCAGTGTTTATCACCCCTCATGGCTCACTGTTAGGAAGTTCTTTGGTATATTGAACTGAAATCCCTCCTGTGGCCATTTGAACTTTCATTCTATTCTTTGTGTAGCCAGGAAAGAGTAGTTATCACCATATACATAAGACTCATATACTCAAAGATATTAGGTTACCTATCAACTTCCATCTTTGTAGGCAAAATAATCTACTTTCCCAGAGATGTTCATTAGAGGCTGTATTCTCAAATGCATTGTTTATCTGGTCTACCAATTCCTTCTCCTTTTCTCCTCACTGTCTTTCCAGAACAAACCCAGCCCTCCCATTTCATATGCTAGTCCTTCTACCATTTCTTCTAGGGCGCAATCATGGGAAGTGAATCATAACTGTTCCTTCTATAGACTTGCTTTTGGTTTTGAGCAGACCCAGCAAACGGCTGTAGGTCGTTATGGTAGGTTTCTTTCTCTTCTTTCTATGCTCTTAGAATTTCAATGGAAGTCCTAGGATTGGAAATCTCTTACAGTTACCTTCCCCAAGAGACAGTTTCTTAGTTTCAAATATATATATATATTTACTTTCTGTCTTAGGATTTCTACTGCTATGATAAAACACCATAACCAAAAGCAACTTGAGGAGGAAAGGTTTTTTTTTCTTGTTTTTTGAGTCCTTTGAGGGAAGCCAAAGTAGCGACTCAAGGCAGGAACCTGGAGGCAGGAACTGAAGCAGGGACCCCAGAGGAACACTGCTTACTGGCTTGCTCTGCAGGACTTGTTCAGACTGCTTTTTTCTACAACTCAGAACCACCTGCTCCAGGTGGTTCCACCCACCATGGGATGGGCCTGCCCACGCCAATCAATAATCCAGAATATGCCTCACACAGTTGCCTCTAGGCAATTTGATGGAGGCATTTTCTCAACTGAGGTTCTGCTTCCCAAATAACTCAAGCTTGTGTGAAGTTGACAAACAAACCAACCTCCCAAATCAACAAACAACAGCAACAACAACAAAATAACTACCAGGACACTTTTACTTTAAAAATTTCTGACTGGTTCCAACTCTCAGACATTTTAGTCTGGAAAATTCTGTCATGATTTATCAGATCCTCCTTTAAGAATAATGGTTCATGTCTAAAAAACCTCAAGTATTCAAGGAAAGGCCTATAAAGAGACCAAGCATCCATGTCTAACCACACTCTTCTTCAGAGACGAAAGAGCAGTCCTGAGAATATTCCTTCAAGAAGGCCTTAAAGACATAGAGGACCCAAATATGGCATTTGCCCTGAGTTTTGCAGTTAAGATTGGATTTGCCCAGTTTCTATTCATATTCAATTTAAGATGCTGAATAGGAAAACTATCTCCCTTTGGATTTGTGTAGCTTCCAAACTAGGCTTATTCGGCACCCAAATTGCAATTCTAGTTAGTGTAGTGGAAAGAACCCAGGATCTGGACTCTGGAGACAAGAATGTCAGCCCCAGCCCTGCCATAGAGTCTCTTTGACCCTTAGCATCTCCATCTGGGAAAGGAGGAGCTTGGCCTCGGTGCTTTCTGTCTCTATGAGACTGTGACTGCACAAGAAAGACTGACTATTGTCAGTTGGATGCGTGCTGTGCTTCTTTCTCCTTATTTTCTAGTTGAGTAGGCATAGAAGTGGATGCACAGTAGGCTGTCCTGGGTTCCAGTATTTCTAGGCCTCGCAGAGATTTTCCAGCCAGAGGGTGTTCTGTGGGTAGCACAAGCTTTAGCTCCAAGAATGTGAGTCCCCTATAATTGCTTAATGTAATTTTAGAAGAATTCCATCCAGAGCCTCCTCCAGTCCAAGAAAATAACTGCTGCAGTATAAACAGAGAGTGATCACTTATGAAAATGTTAGAAGGCGTCAGAGAAAAAGTTCCCACTGGAATCTGCTTCTGCAGCTGGCCCTCTGCTTCCCTGCACTTGGACAAGGAAGCTCCTCATAGTTTCATTCCTATAGAAAGTTAGGGCCAGAGAACAGTATGCAAAAAATTACCTCTGGATCAAGAGATTGAATTCCTTCTTTAGATTCCCTAACTTTGACAGAATACGTCATGATACAAAAGCTTAGAGACGTTTGCACTGAGAAAGTCACCCTGTGTAGTCTTGGATGAAAGAACAATCACATCATTTCAAAGCTAAGGTGCATCAAAGGGGCATTTCCCTAACCTTTCAGCTGAGCTCCAAATGCTGAAAGAGCAACGAATGGAAAACAAGCTAGTAAAGGGAGGCTGGGGCTGGGGGCGGGAAAGAAAGGGTGCAATGGGAAGGGAGAGGGAGAGAGCTGCGGGAGCAGGAGAATTCCATTAAAGGGTGAAAATTAAGTGAACAATTCAATTTACCTCTTCAAGTATGTGCCTGCTCACTGTGTCCAAGGAAATCCATATTAAATGGCTTCTAAATCACTTTTAAACAAAGTGGATGTTTAGGGCTTATGTGAATTTTCTTCCCAATAATGTTTCATACAATGCTAGGCAACGATGTGAGTTATAATTTCTATCTTGAAGAGATGCGATGAGTTAAGAACCAAATACTTGAAACTCAAATTTTCTTTTTTAAAAGACAGAACATCCTAGCAGCTAACACTTGGGAACAAGCAGAAGGACTCCGTGCTCACTTCAGCTCCCTGGTGTTTACTTTGTTCAGGTCAGGTCTCAGAGAGCTGGGCAAATTTGCAGCCTTTTCTTTTCAGCAGGATGACACGATCGACATGACATGGAGCTAAGGGCACCTGAAGTGGGAGAGCACTCTAGTGCTTGGAGGGTTGCTCCGCTACCCCTGCAGCTAGCTGTTTCAGGCACTTGCAAATGCTCTAGAATGCTCCTTAAATCTAAACAGACAAAATCACTTAAAGAGCCTTTTGACATTTAACTATTTTATTTTATGTGTTTTGCTGTATATGTGTGTGTGTGTGTGTGTGTGTGTACGTAGACTGCATGCATGCCTGGTGCCTGAGGAAACCAGAAGAAGGTATTATAATAATCCCCTGGAACTGGAATTACAGAAAGTTGTGAGCCATCTTGCAGAAACTGGGGACCACACCCAAGTCCTCACTTAACAGCTGAGTTACCTTACAGCCCTGGTAAAGAGTTGTAAGGTCCACAATCCAAGCTACTCGGAAGGCCTAGTCATGCAGATCACTAAGCTTAAGGTCAGCCTGGGCTACAGAGTGAGTTCAAGGCTAGCCTGAACAACTAAGTGAGATCATGTCTCTCTCAAAGAAAGTAAAAGAGGGCTAGTGATGTAGTCCAATAATAGAGCATCTGACCAGCACACCTAAAGCCTTGGGTTACACATTTCTAGTATTATACAGACAGGGAGCAAAAGAAGAATTTTTAAGGGGAAACTCGCTAGTTTTACATTAACCTTGTCTTCCTTTCATGTCAGAACCCAGAAACAAACAGGTGCATAAACTGATTTCATAGTTGGTTCTTTTAGTGCAAAGGAGTGGTTTCATTTGCCTAATCCCTACAACCTGATTTCTCTTTGGATTCTCTTTTTCAGGCAGGCAAGCAAGCACTCCATGTGCCCCTGGCGACTTTCCTGTTAGGTGCAGTGGACTTAGGAAACCTAGGACAGCACAGTGGATCACTCCAGCTAGCGTCTATCTACTTTATAAACATGAAAGGAACAGAGTGACACAGCAGCATAGAGTTTTTCTCTCTTTCTTCATCACAGAGAAAATGATACTGAATTCTCAAAGCAAGAGGTATCATCTTTGATCATATGGGAAATTGAATAAAAACAGCTTTTAGGCTAAGAACCAAAGTATTGATTCCTTTCTATAGGTAGCGTTTCTTTTCTCTATAAGTGGCCTTAGGTCTTCATTCGTGCCTGATAACTGAGCTGACAGAGGAGGGAGAAAGGTAAAAAAAAGAAAGCAGTGGACAGAGCAAGAAAGGAAATCAATATGAACTGGAAACAAAGATGCAAAAAGGAGCAAGAAGGAAGAACCAAAAAATAAGTGGTAGAGCTTTTGCCTAATGTTCTTAAGGCAAAGGCCCTAGGTTTGACCCCCAATGAAAGAGAAAGGGGAGGACACAAGGGACAAGTCATCATCGTCATCATTATCGTCATCATCATCGAACAATGATAACTTGCATGTGTTGCTAGAGTCATTCTATCTTCCATGACTTGTTACTGAAAAACTAATTCTTGCTCTTTATAAAGTGCAACACTCAAATAAATGATTGAATAAAGCAATAGATAACTAATGCTTAAAGAAATTAATGCAAAATCCTATCCCATTCACTTCTAATTAAAAAGACACAACAATGTAATAAAATCAGGAGCTCAACTTACCCTTTTTCTTGTTTTTAACAGGACCTATTAGAAATAGAAGATGGAAGATTAAGTTAGTAGAAACTTAAAAAATGGTTATTCTCTAGAAAGTCACTAAGGGGGACCCTCAAGGCACTACAAATTTAAGGGACCCTCATAGCCACGCACCAGGTTTTAGACAGGGTATCTATTGCCCAACAATCAAGCTTCTACCATCTGTTTGTTGGCTGTTGAGACCACAAAAAATACATGGAGGATTCCTCCCTTAAGACGAACAACTTCCCACTTTAGTTGGGAGCGAGAGAAAGGGTATTTCTTCGTAGAGATGAAAAGCCCAGAAACGCACAACTCAACAACCTCAGGACGGCATTCCAGGAACTCTGCGATTCCTGAGGTTGCCTGCTGAGTCATGCATTCGGGGAAGCCAGGACACGACGTTTTGGAGGAGGAGACTAGGAGAGAAGAGGTGCTGTTCTCAGGGATGGAGCAGAGCAGCAGCAGCTTACCTTCCAGTCACTTCTTTGTTGTGACCGAATTGGTTAGTTATTGGAACAGAGCAACTGCAGTACATTCGGGTGGGGGCCACACACTCTCCCACAGCAATTCACCATAACTTAATAGGTGCTTTAAAGGAAATGCCAACCATTTCTTTGGCAGTGGAATCTGAAGTGTCTTCTTATGTATTGCTTTTAAGCAGTTTAATCACTAGAGAGAACTCAAAAAACCAAAGATATTTTTAATTTAGTTAGGTGGCTTTAGGTAACAACCACTACCTAGAAAGATATAGTTTAGGTCTCAGTCACTTTTATTCATAGGGATTCAGGTTTTTTCTTTCTTCAGATGAATCTAAAGCTCTGTTCCAAACTGCCACAGACCAAGACTGTGCAGCGCTAGCCTGCCATCGCTGTCCTTAGGAGCATTTCTATAGTCTACGGTTTACCGATCACGCTTCTCTCTATTTAGTACCTAGATTGTTTCTTTTTTTCTTTTTTTTAATTTATTTATTTATTAAAGATTTCTGTCTCTTCCCCGCCACCGTCTCCCATTTCCCTCCCCCTCCCCCAATTAAGTCCCCCCCTCCTCAGCCCGAAAAGCAATCAGGGTTCCCTGACCTGTGGGAAGTCCAAGGAACCCCCACCTCCATCCAGGTCTAGTAAGGTGAGCATCCAAACTGCCTAGGCTCCCAAAAAGCCAGTACGTGCAGTAGGATCAGAAACCCATTGCCATTGTTCTTGAGTTCTCAGTAGTCCTCATTGTCCGCTATGTTCAGAGAGTCTGGTTTTATTCCAGGCTTTTCCAGACCCAGGCCAGCTGGCCTTGGTGAGTTCCCAGTAGAACATCCCCATTGTCTCAGTGTGATTCTTGTAACAAGTCTAGAATGATCTCCACCTATGAGATCAGGTTTCACAGGAAGCTAATAGAGTCTCTGACCTCTTTTTAACTGGATTTCCAGTGTGGCCTCAGAGCTGCGTATGTCCCTTAAAAAACCCAAAGTGTTTAGATTGCCCTTACAAAGAAATATAGCAGCAGGGACCATGCGAACTATGCGGAAGATGTTTCAGGTTCGGTAAAGCAGCTGAAGATCATGAATTTCTCTTTTCTTATTCTTCTTTTCCTCATGTCTTTCTCCTCCTAGTCCTTTGTCATCTTTGTGTTTTGGATTTCTGAGCTAGGGTTTAAATGTGTAGTCTAGGTTGGTCTTGGACTACAATCTGCGTGCTTCAGTCTCCTGAGTGCTGGGACACAGGTATGTTTTCATACACTATTAATAGTGTTTTTCAAAACACTATTAAGCATTCCTGAGAATGTGCATACAGGTTCTGACAGGGAAGCAAGGCTATGACTGAGTAAGGGACAACAACTTAACCTGAGAAGGGCCTTGTTCTTGAATAAGAAAGCTGTTTAAGGAGGGATTTACACAGAAGGGCTCAGCCTCACCAGTTAGCCACCCCAGTGGCCAGTCAGCCACTCCAGCCTCATAAGCAAGAGCCATGGGATGTCAGCTGCCGCAGCTGCCCTGCCCTCATAGCCAAGGTGGCCTAGCCCTGGCCACTTCAGCTAGTTAAGGGGTAGTGCTATTGCACCAGATTCTGAGGCAATCAGGCCAGCTGGTCTTTTCTGGGTATCCCTATGAAGGTGGCATGGTAAATAGGGCCAGAACACCGTCATCATAGAGCTTACAAGTTGGATAGGAAACTACTAAGTAAGGGGGAGCTCAGGAGTCATGCTGGCTAGTTGAGCTGAGGACTAAAAGTTCTAGGGAAGACGTTTTCCTTATACGTACAAGTGGTAAAACGAAAGGGGTACATGTTTCATTTGTTTGTTTTTGGAAAGAGGGTCTTTCTATGCAGCCCTGTCTACCCTGGAATTCACTTGTGTCCCAGACTGGCCTTGAACTCAGAACTCAGAGCAGTTTTCTTGTTTGGACTTACAGTCATTCCACACTACATCTGACTTGGGAAAGGGAATTAAAAAAATTATTTCTACTATAAATCTGACCAAGAATCTCTGACTGGGGAGCTGGCAGGCTCCAGGGGTGGATCTACTACTACCATTTGTTTTACTAAAGGGACACAGAATCACACTGCTCTCTAAATTGCTATCTCTTTCCACAGAGATTAGTAGTGCAGTTTCCAGACCTCACCAGAGAAGTGTGTAGTAGATGGTGGTTCATGCAGAAACTCATAAGTGGTCAAAGCGCAGAGTAAGTGTTAGTGGAACACTCAGCCATAAAGTATTGTAATGGTCAGTTTTATGCCAACTCGTTATAAGCTGTAGTCATCTGAGAGGAGGGAGTCTCTATTGACAAAATGCCTCCGTAAGACTGGGCTGAAGGCAAGCCTGTAGGGCATTTTCTTAATTAGTGATTGATGGGGGAGGGCCCAGCCCATGTGGATGATGCCATCCCTGGGCTTGTGGTCCTGGGCTCTATAAGAAAGCAGGCTGAGCAAGCCATGAGGAGCAAGCCAGTAAGCAGCACATACCCCCACCCCGTGGCCTCTGTATCAGCTCTTGCCTCCTGTCCATTCTTTGATAATGAACTGTGATGTGGAAGTGTAAGCCAAATAAACCCTTTCCTTTCCATCTTGCTTTTGGTTATGGTGTTTCATCACAGCAACAGTAACCCAAACTAAGACAGCTACCTGACCTATTTTCTCCAGCCCATAACCCTCAGTGTCAATCATGGAAGAGGAGTGTGTCTTTTGGACATGACACGGTAGCTGTACTCATGAACTCAGTAGCTGGGGCTGCCCAGGCAACACTTGGAGAATATCAAACCAGTAAAGAAGGGAGCATGGATGTATGGGGGAAGTCAGTTTTCTTTAAGGACATGACCTCTGCTCTACTTTGTCCCAGTGGATGGTCCCACACCCATAAGTATATGGGCAAGCACAAATTAGACTCAGTGGATTAGCCAAGACATGTAAACAACCTAGGTGTCCATCAGCTGATGAATGGAGAATGAAAATGTGGTACTATTCAGCTATTAAGAAAAACAAAATGATGAAATTTACAAGTAAACGAACATGCTGAGTGAGGTAACTCAGATCTAGAACAGCAAATGTCATGTGTTTTCTTCTCATTTACGGATGTTAGTTGTTGTTATTGTTTTCTTCCTTTTGTTTTTGAGACAGAATGTCTCTATGTAACCTTGGTTGGTCTGGAACTTGCTCTGAAGGCCTGCTTAGCCTTGAACTCACAGAGTGGTAGGATTAAAGGTGTGTGTCCCTACAATGGATATTAGTTTTGGATCTTCAGATATGTGTTTCATTTGGAATATCCATAAAGGTTAGGGAATTAGGGGCCACGAGAGTGGGGTTTTCAAGGGAGGGGGATAGAATACCGTGGTATAATGGGGTAAAGGGGCATAATGGGAGCTTGGGATAATAATGGGAATAAGGGAATACGGGAAAAGGTAATTAACACTAAAGACCCTTTCAAAGTGTCATATGGAAACTTACTATAGTAGAAAGTTCCTAAAAGAGACTCGACAGCTCTGCTCTCTGGAGAGACGCCATGCTCCCCTCTCCCGGGTGGACGTGAGAGCTCTCTGAGACACACGCCATGAGGCTCCGACCCAGGATGGACATAGGCTAGAATCTCCCTGGTAAGCCACCTCATGGGCTACACAGATGATTAGAAATGGGCTAGTCCAGGTGCGAGAATTAGCCTAGAAGAGGCTAGATAGAAATGGGCCAAGCAGTGTTTAAAAGAATACAATTTGTGTGTTGTTATTTCGGGGCATAAGCTAGCGAGGCGGCCGGGGTGCTGGGGATGCAGCCCCGCTGCTCTTTATTATAACAGAATGCCAGAATTCTGAGACTGAGCGTGCAGCACAGAAATTCTTTTCATCCAAGTTACATCCAAATCTGTAGAGCACTGCGCAGTCTAAAAACACGTCTCTGTATGGCGGCAGGAATCCGCCATGCTCTCCTGCTTGCCTAAGCCTGATTCGGCCGTCTGCCCAGGTGCAGGCGGGGAGTGCTGAGCCATCAGCACAATCTCAGAGCACTCTCCTTCGGATCCCAAGTGGGAACACAAACATCCAGTCCCATAAAAGCCACTGAAATGCTTTAAAGCCAGAGTTCATACATACATGCAGACACACACAACACACACATACATACATAGTTTAGAGTTATGCTATTACATGGCAAAATGACCCTACTAGATTCCACAGGCTAACAAATAAAAAGTTCAGTGCCAAGAATGAGTTACCTCTTCTGGAGTTGTTGGCTAGTGAGGTTCTTTAGACACCCCACCCCTGAACATTACAGACTCTAGGCTACCTTTCAGAACTTTATGATAAGACCCTTTTGCTGAAGGGACCACATATTTGAGTCATAGAACATATAGAAATCAAGCTAATACCTGGAAACTTCATGCCTACTGGTTAGCTTTTATAGTCCAGAAGGTGTGATGCATGCCATTACCAGAAAAGTAATCCTCAATCTTACCCCAGCTGTCAACACTGAGCGTTACAACCAGCCTGGCAAGACATGTCCATTTGGTACAATTATGGCATGAATGCCATGAAAGTAACC